ACTAAAGCCAGCGGAGACTGGTCGAGAGCACTTTAGCCACATACACACATGTCTTGAGTGAAGAATCTGGCCATTGCCAGAACTCCAATTTATATAATCTACGAAAGGTCGTGAGGCCACTGCCGTTTCAACCTTCTTGGAGGATTATAGGGATGGGAGGTGCTTGATAGGGATTGTGCAATAGGATTTGGGTGGTGCGTAAGGTTCTGATGAAATTTGGAGAATTTTTCTGGGATAAGGTCTAGGACAAATGGGATGTTGAGTTCATGATGTAGGGTTTTGTCGGTTACATGGAAAGGAGGATCGACTATTGTTCGAAGGACTTTTGACTGGAAGGATTGGATGCGCTTGATGTTAGAAAATTTTGCTGATCCCCACAGTTCTAGTCCGTAAGTCCAAATAGGTTTCAGTACTGGTGGACAGCAATTGAGTCGGAGTGTAAAGGTAATATGTTGGCATTTAGATTCATTAACTTTAATGCGCCAGTTATTACACCAGTGCTCAATCAAGGTGAGGTGGCTTTGGAGATTTAAGGATGCTATTTCGGCATCAGAGTTGGATGTAACAATAATTATGTCGATTATTTTAATTGTCAGTCATCATCTTTATAGATAGATAGATAGAATAAAAGCTTTATTTCATATACATTTTACATATTCCTTTTTTTTTAATAACAAGTGGATATTAAGAGTTTTATTATAACGTTTTAATAAATTTGTTAAAACGTTAGATGCTTTAAATAATTGTATGCCTAAATTATATGTTTTAAAATATATTCTTACTCGTTCCTAATATACTGATCTTATTTTTTTTTTAATTTATGTACAGTAAATACGTCACATCCAAAAGATTTTTTTAAATCAAAAATATTTTTTTGGATAATCTGTATTATTGGACACTTTATTTTCGGATATGTATCTTTCAATTAGATACATTTTCGTTTATCCAACCATTGGAAAAAATGTTCCGAAATTCAACCGACAAAAAGACTTCACAAATGTTGAGGCAGCGGGCGTTCAAGTATGAATAGCCAATTCTGCACAACCAAATCCATAGGCACTGTAGCCTAATTAATTAATTTAGTTAAAATCAATTGAGGATAAATAAAATGCCGAATAGCAGTAATTTTATAATTGTATTTATTGAGAAAATAATAAATGAAACACATGCAACAAAATAAATGAAAATATAAATCAATAACATTTCTCCTAATCATAAAAACAATAAAATAAATAGAGAAACAGATTGTGTTAAAGTACTAAACAAAAGAAAGAATCCTTAGAATTAGAAATCTATTATGTGTGAATTCCATGGATGAGTTTTAATTAATAATAATATAATACAAATTAATTTAATTTCAATGTTGATTTAATTTGGAATTATCAAAATGTATTTAAAAATGTTTATGTATACGTATATATTTTTTAATTTTATTTATTTAATGAAATTTACAACTGTATAAACAATACTAGTAAAAATGCACATATTGGAAATAATGACATGAACAGACTTGAAGAGATACTGCCCAGTGGTAGCACTCCCTATTTAATACTAGGTGAGAAGATCACGTGGCCATCTTCTTTTCAGACGCCTAGGGGGATTATCAGAAATCGAGGAAGAATCAAGGCTGGAAACAAGTGGGTTTGGATGGGACTGGAGTTTATCATGAAAGGATAGGTATCTGGCTCGGGCTAAATCAGCGACATATGGAACATTAAGGTCTTTATGAATGGTTTTATTTGTGACAAAATATATGGCATTAAGGATTTTGGATTGGATACGATAGGAATTCGATGGTTTGGTAGAATCCCAAAGCTCAACTCCGTAGGTCCATATAGGTCTTATTATGGTTAAGTAGATGAGTCTTTTCTAATTAATTGAAAGTTTAGAGCGTTTATCTAGTAAGTGTTGGAGCAGTCGGAATATATACGTATATAAATTTAAAAAGTATATTTTATAATAATAAAATAAGAAAAAAAAATGAATATGGTAGATCCAGCATTGAACTGGGTACGTTCACAATAATAGTACAGAATGCTAGCCACTAAACTAGAGAGGCACTTAGATGACTTCGTATGATTTGATATAGAAGTTTAAATTCAGCCTCAATGTGAGGTGTATATTAAGAAATAATGCTTTTTATTACTAATTGTTATGACCCTAGTATCCATGTGACAGATTGTTGTAATACTCAATAAATAAAAATAATAAAAATTTGTTAAGACTGAAAACCAGTGGGGTCGTGAATGCCTTTTAAAGGGGCGCCATTCACCTTTAAACTGTTCATACATTAGAAAATAAAATGTACCTCCATCCGGACGGTCATATTTTGTGTCTGACGTACGTGATGTAAGTCCTCTTGCAGGAAGATAATGTCCCAGATGTGGGAATTCGTCGTTACAACCTGGTGAGATGAAACTTTGAGTTTTCCAGGGGGAATGGTAACGGGGCTAGAGAGCCTCATGGAGGTAGTTCTTAATTCATTGCTTCCAGCAGTCATAGTGATTGAGCAATGTTTTCTTTTTGCTGCTGTATTTGTGACACGATGTGTGCCGGATGTTGCCGAACATCGTCACTGTGACGTCTCGTAGTGTACGAAATATTTACTTATGCGCGATTACATATAAATAACAGGCCCACCTGATACAATGATACAAGTACAATGATATGAAAACAAAACAAAAATAAGTAATCTAGGTGACATTTGTAACAAAATAAAATTTACCTCCCATATTATGACAGAACATAAAAAACAATAACATTATTCATGTTGGCGTCAACAACAAAAATTATTGTGAGATATAATAAAAAACAAATCAACAAAAATCTTATTCGTGCACGCTCGACATTAGAAGATACATGGATTTGTTTAGGATAGTGATGTTTAAACAATTGTTACTTTCGCGCTACTCTAATTTTCAGTCCTTCCCTCTCACTCGGAATTATTAACGGTTCCTCCCAGCTGTAGGAAGGCAGCTTTTTAGGGCCCACAACAATTCGAATTTGATGTATTAAATAAATTCTCACACGCTTTATTATAACTATAAATAATATATTATTTTAAACAATGTTTTACATTTGACATTTGAACTTAAAGTGACCTTTTTATATAAAATAGAAAACAAATATAAAACATTAAAATGAATCTCACTATTAAGAGCACATTCCACGCTATCTATTTTAGACTTCGATTCCCCTAAACTTCTTAGGCCTCTTTCCTTTACATATTTTGTAATATTATCTGATTATTAAAATATAAAATATTAAAAAAAATTATAAAATTACTTGATATTATTATTATTTGTATAAATCCGAAGATCACGTCACTTCATGACATCCAATCTGGTACTAAATGAAATGTCTTATTAAGATATATATATATACATACATATATATTATTTGGAAAATAAATTTATTGTAATTTTAATGTTAAGTACATATCAGTGAATGTTGGTTATTAAAAGGAAAATAATAATTAAGATAATATCTTCTATATTTTGGCTCAATTGAAGAACTTACGATAACCAATTGAAGCTATCTGAAAAACAAAAAAAAGTCATTATCATATTTAAACTTTTTATTTTATTGTCTGTGTAAAATTTATGTACATTTTTCAGTCTATAAACGCACACTCTTCTCGAAGCACTGAAATGTGATTTTGAAAGATTATTCTTTGACAAATTATGGCTGTTGTGTCTCCTCCAATCAGTGTCCTTACAAAGGTACCGAAATACTTCGAATCAGGCAAATCCTACCTTCATCCCCCAGATCTGCGCCCTTTTATCTCTAATGATTTCTTCGATCACAGTGTAGTCGAACTAAAAACCAGGTGCAGACACCGCCTACCATTTTCGAATATCAAAAATATTTTAATTGAATTTTCGCATTGTACTTGATGTTCTACTTACAAAGGGAGTTTACGGACACTGTGTCACCGATTTAAATAAGATATTACCAACTAATCTGAATTTATGTTTACCATCTAATCTTGTCAGTGCTTCAGGGGGGCCCATCGCCCGAAGTTCGATGGCGTATGAATCTCCCTCTCTCCCAATATATTTTATAGCTCTCCTCTTCCTAAAAATATTGTAAGCGAAATTAGGATTTAAAAAATAGTAGATCATATAAAATTGCATTTGCTGCGATATGTTCCATGTTTCCCCTTGTCCTCTACTTTGAAACTTGCATTCCGAAAAATCCTCACCTCCCCAAAAAAAATTCAAAACCTCCTTCAAATGTGCTCCCCTCAAAACTTTTTATGTTGCAGCTTGCGCCATGAAATTCCGTGCTGTGCCATAAAGATAAGAAACTATATCTTATTAATGATAAAAAAAAGTTTTCATGGAGTGCCTTAGTTTCTCTCGAAACATTGATTTATTGTCCTAAAAACAAAATTTTAATTTGCTTGCTGAATTAAATAATATATTCTTCTTAGAGTAGTCGTTAAAAAAATCCGCTTCCCTTTCCCAACGCCTCAGTTAATTCTTTTTCCGAAAACAATGTTTTTCACATAAAACACAATTATTACCGCTACACTTAAACGGGCGATTGAATTTCATACATTTGCTTATATAACATGGTAGCATGTGCCGAAATCAAAATTTAAGTCACAAACTGGAGTATGTAAAAAATTGTCGAATAAAACGTGTAACAGTTTTCTATTAGGTGGATCCAATAGAAAACTGTTCGTTAGAACTGGATCCAAGTTCGTTAGGTTTTTGTTTGTAGTGCAATTGTTTTCAAATATCTCGAGTTCTCTTTGCATTATCTGATAATGATGATACTTATCAGAGGTCAAAGTCCATTCTTCGAAACTATTGTGTTTTGTTTCATGGGCATTAGTCTTGTTTGTGCTCCAGCGTAGTGGATATGTCAAATGATAAAGTGCATTGTCGACATTTGATTTTTTATTTCGAAAAAGGCAAGCGAGCTTCAGAGTTCCACCGAAAGATATGTAAGGTATACGGGGACGATGCTTTAACATTACATACGGCTCAAAAATGGTTTGTCAAATTTCGTTCAATACTTCGTCAAAATTCAAATCCGGAGATACGAGTCTCGAAGATGTCCCTCGCAGCGGTCGGCCCACCGAGGTTGATTCGAGTAATATCAAGGCTCTGATTGAACAAGACCGGTCACTACACGTAGGAGAAATTGCGGAGACACTGAAAATAGGCTTTGGAACCTTTTAAAGGCATTTAAAACAGCCTGGCTAAGTGTACAGTGCGCCTCGATGTTAGGGAGTCACACAAACTGACTGAGGCAAACCTGGCCAACCTAATATCAATCTGGCATTCTCTTCTGAACCGTCACGAAACGAATCTATTCTCATTTGAATATTGACGGGTGAACAAGACTGTATCATCTACGACACTGTAGTGCAAAGGAGATTGTGGACAACTGCTGACGATCCGCCTAATGCCATCCCGAACTGCGGGAAAGATTTATATCTGTATATGGTGATATTATCGAAGCGTGCTGTTTTACCAGCTGCTTCCACAAGGAAAATGGATTGATTCGAAGATCTACTGCACGCAGCAAGCGAAATTGGACCAAGCATTGCGACATAAACGCCCAGAACTATTTAATCGCAAAAATGTTGTATTCAACCATGACAACGACAGACCACACTCCGCCACAATCACACAGTAAAAATTAGCGCAACTTGGCTGAGATGTTTTATTACACCCTCCGTATTCACTAGACCTTTCACCCTCCGACTACCACTTATTCCGGTCCCCTCAAAATTCCCTCTTCTGGAAATCGTTCGCTGATGATAGAAATGTGAAAATGTATCTCGATCAGTTTTTCTCTTCTAAGCTCCGGATATTTTACGAGAGCGAAATAATGAAATTGTTAGAAAGATGTCAAGAGGTCATTAATAAAAACGGGAAATGCATTATAGAATAAAATTTATTATTTGTATGACCACTTGGACAACCGACTAACTTGGAATCCTCATACTAGACTGAAACGACAAGAAACCGCTCGACGTTTCCGATTACTTCAGCACTTACTAGACAAACGCTCTAAACTTCCCATAAATTACAAAAGACTCATATACTTGACTATAATAAGACCTATTTGGGCTTACGGAGTTGAGCTATGGGGCTCCACTAAACCATCGAATTCCTCTCGCATCCAATCCTTACAATCCAAAATCCTTCCTAAAATCCTCAATGCTCCTTACTTTGTCACTAATAAAATTATCCATAAAGAGCTTAATGTTCCTTATGTTTCAGATCTGCCCCAATCCAGATACCTATCCTTCCATAATAAACTTCAGAATCATCCCAACCCTCTCGTTTCTAACTTTGCTTCCTCTTCAATTCCTGATAACCCTCTGAGGCGTCTGAAAAGAAGATGGCCCCGTGATCTCCTAATGTAGTCATATCATTAGAGTGCTACCATTGGGTAGTTACTCAGCAAGTGTATTCATGTCATTATATCTATTATGTCCAAATTTACTAGATGTATTTATGTAATACAGTTGTAAAGAGGAAATAAAAAAAATAAATAAAAAAATTATTTCTATGAAAAAAACATGTTTCATTTCATCCTTCAAAAACCGAACGAACTTATAGATCCACCCAATATTTAAGCGAACCTTGCTGATTAAAGTAAATTCAATCCGTATGTAAGAAAGGCGAAAAAAAAAAAAAAAAAAAGATTCAAGTAGATTGTGTCTAAAATAGACTTAATTTAAGAGGGAATTAACGCCTAATTAACATTACATCTGTACAGAGTATATCTCTATACTGTTCACTACTAACACACAGAACGAACCAGCTCAAATAAGATATTGAATAAAATGTTCAAAATAAGAAAGAGTTGAAAATTTATTATTAAGCGATTTTTCCAAGTGCTCAATTGTTATTTTTCTCGGATTTTTAATGTGTTTTTTGTTAAGTAACACCTTACCTAATGGTACAAACACGTTTCTCATCATAATCTCGATCTTAATTTTTAGAAATCCTCATAACAGACTTCAACGACAAGAAACTGCTCGACGTTTCCGACTACTCACAAAAGACTCATATACATGACTACAATAAGACCAATCTGGACATACGGAGTTGAGATTTGGGGATCCACAAAACCATCGAATTCCTCTCGCATCCAATCATTGCAATCCAAAATCCTACGTAAAATCCGCAATGTTCCTTAATTTGTCACTAATAAAATCATTCATAAGGACCTTAATGTTCCTTATGTTTCCGACTTGGCCCAATCCAGATACCTATCCTTCCATAATAAACTTCAGAACCATCCGAATCCTCTCGTTTATAACCTTGGTTCCTATTCTATCCCTGATAACCCTCCGAGGCGTGTGAAAAGAAGATGGCCTCGAGATCTCCTATTGTAAATACATTTTTTTGAGAGTGCTGTACCAGTGGGTAGTTTCGCTTCAAGTGTTTTCATGTTTTTATTTTATGTTATCACATTTACTTAATGTATTCTTTCTTAATACAGTTGTAAATATCATAAATAAAAAATAAAAATTTGTTTAGCCTTTTGTCCCGCTATATTCGCATCTAGCCACACTATTCGACTTGTTAGTTACATCAAATACAAATAATTTATCATTATAATTTAAATTATTCATTATAAGTATAATAGGCGTTGTTGGCATATTTCCCAGCAAATGTGGATCAAGTTGCTATGGTAGGAGTGGAAAACAAAAACCCTGGCCTGTGTATTGCCTGATGGCATACACATCAGCTAGGTCCTTGTCGGAATGTGAAGCTTTAATTCCAGCCACTGGAGAGAATGCTGTCATTGGAGTTGTCCAGCGGTGGCCCATGACGGTTTTTGAATGGCTACCGATCAGCTGCAGTCAGCCATTCTGATTCATAGTGAGGTGGCCCAACTACTCGTATTATGTATTGTGTAATCCCCACTCCTCGATGTACAAATGTCACTGTTAGGATGTATTACGGTTGTATTCCATTCCGTATGTTATAGTACTTAGGGTTTGTGATTTTTTTTTTTATTTTTTTTTGGGGGGGGGGGGGTGGGGGGGATTTATCACTGAATAGGAAAAATAAAGATTTATTATTTATTCTAGTAACTAAAATAAAAAGTAAAATAGTAATTAGCAATTAGCAATCGAAGATATGTGATTATTTATTCAAGCACATTGCAAAAAAAATTAATACGATAAGATGGGGTAACTGTGGGACTGGGTATGTAACTTTATTACAGCGAAAAAAAATTAGTTTGTGGTCTCCGTCCCAAGGTTAGCCTATCCTACGGTAAATACATATATTTTTTTAAATATACAAATTTGAACTCAAAAAGAAAAACCTAAATTACCATGTTAAAAAAAAGTTGGAAAGGAAAGAATTATTTCAAACAAAGGAACGTGTCATATACAGATTTCTACACTCTCATTCAGAGGACTTGATGGCCAAGACGTTAGAGTGTCCGGTTCAGAAAGTTGTGGGTTCGATTCACAACCTAGTTCAGTTAATACTATTTCTCGAAGGCCCTGAGAAATTAATCTTAATAATCCGACTCTGGTAAGTATGTGGCTATAACCCCAAGGTTAACAAAAAATACTACAATGCTCACTTGGCGTACTAGTTTCTTCCACCAATCAATCAACGACAAACATAAAATTCCGACAAACCATAAAATAAATACCATAAAAATAAATAAACCATTAAGTAATAAATATGAAATTTAAACTTTGATGACAAGTTCGCAGATGTAACTTTAACAATTTGAAGTAAAGTGGTCACCCATCCACGTACTTACCACGCTCGCAATACTTCGTTTGACTATTGCGAGAACGAAAAAATATACTTTCTCTGAGTTACAAAGTATATACACAATAATCAATCCTTTTACCTACGCTTTTTTTTTTTTTTGTATTTATTTATTTATTGAGTATTACAACAATCTGTCACTCAGACATTAGTTAGAGTGAGGTTCATTTGCTCTTAATAAATCCTTTGTTAAAATAAGTTAGCCTGATTAGAAATAGTCGTTCGATCAATCAAATCTGCCAAATCCAATTTGTTTTACATACCAAACTTAGCCAAGGTCTCCTTATTTCCGATATTCGCTTTATCCAAAAGACAATTCAATGTTTTGCATCAACGAAGTATTTGTGTAGTATTACTCTAGAGATCCCAGCGCTTCTCTCCCAGCGGCGTCACAGGCATCGGAGTCCAGTGGAGACTGAAAGAGGGCACTAAAGCCTCAGACGCTCATAACTTGAGTAGAGAGGCTGGCCATAGCCAAAACTCCAGTATAAATTAAAATTAAAGAAATATTTTTCTAATTATAATTTTTAATCGATCTTTTTACCCTCCACCGCTTATAATTTAAGAAGTGCTGCCAACTTTTCCAATATTTCGCAGTGATTTACTTAAATGAAAACTCTAAAAAAAGTCCAATAAATCAAATAGATTAAAATTATAAGGCCAGTGCGAATAATTCGCATTCTATATTGGTCAGTTAACAAATGTTAAATTTTTAAGATAGGTGTGCTTATTTGTCCCGTCTAAAGGAGAAGATAATTTCCAAATTGATTGGATTTGATTGAAAATTAAGAAAAAAATGGCGTGCCGACAAAAAAAAACCTTTGAGAAATAATAATAACAAAAGGTTTAGTGAATCCGAAGGTTCGATGCCGACACCACCAATCGTTATCTACACACCTCCCTCCAATGGTCCCCATACAAACCCAACCCCGCCAGATCACCCTTAACGCAATCTTCCCACCTTCGCTTCGGTCTACCCCTAGAACGTTTACCAGTCGGTACAGCGCTTCATTACTATGCCTAACAATTTATATGCCCATTTTATTCACCGCAATTTTATCACCTCAATTATATCAACCGGAAACAGTTCACGCAATTAAGCATTGTGTAACAGTCTAAATTCTCCGGTTGACTCATCCATCTTCGGTACAAATAATCTACGCAATACTGCTTACATTATCCCTTAATGTAAGCGGCCACCCATAAAGAACCATATGTAGGATAATGGTTTTGTAAATTCTAATTTTTAAGTTCAGTACAGAAAGCACAACTAAGTAGTTTTGTCACAGAATAATAGCAAGGTATTTCTCACCTTCAACCTAATCTTAATCTCTTGAATTTCGTCTTTTCTAGTTATCGTAGATCTTAAATACCTCAATTTTTCAACTTATTGAAACATATACCCTTCTATATGGGTATCACCGAAATTATTGCCGTTTTTGAAGCTATACATATATTTTGTCTTCTCCGTATTTATTTCAAGCCTCGATTCTTTACGGTTTTTTTTTATCTAAGTTGTCATATTTAGATTCATAGTTTCTGTGTCTTCGCTTAGCAGGAATAAATCACCTGCATAACCAAGCATGAATATTGTTCCACCAAGATTCAAACCTTTTTCGGCAAGCATTACCTCCCTAATGGTATGTTCTAATTCTAAATTGAACAGGAGAGATGAAAGGGAATCATCCTGTTTAAAACCCGAACGAGCCTCAAAATTATCGGATAAATAATTACCTGTTCCAACTTACGTGAATGTTTCCATCATGCGCATCTTAAATAGATTTATCAATTTTATTGGAATCCCGTGCTCAATTAGAACATTATAAAACTTCTGGTGTTCAATGAAATATGGTAAAGGTCATTTGGTGGAATTTATGAGAATTTATTTTAAATTTCCAGATTGAAGAGCTTGGGATGGAATTGATGTGTCATTATCACCTGATAGAATACACATGTAAACTGTCTGTTGTGTAAACTGTGTAAAAGATAGGACCTAAGATACTTCCTTGAGGATTACCAACGGACGGATAAATAGGCCGCACTGTGGTTTACCTGGAATGATCTGTCTGAGATGTAGAAAAGGATAATAAAAAAGTATGTAGGGGATCTGAATCGACGGATTTCGTAAAGCAGACCCGGTTTCCAGGCTCGACCAAATGCTGAAAAACTACAATATATTTAAAAAAAGAACTACTATACAAAAAAAAAACAACTACAATAAAAAAACAACAACAACAAAAAAACTACAATATATTTAAAAAACTACAATATATTTAAAAACTACAATATATATTTAAAAATTACATTGTAGGCAATTAATTAATCAATGTCCTCCGAGGCATCTAAAAAGAAGATCGCCTCGAGATCTCCTTTTGTGAACACATTTTTAGAGTACTACCTGTGGGTAGTTTTTCAACAAGTGGTTTCATGTTATTATATTCTTGTATTCAAATTTACTGAATGTATTTTTATTTTTAATACAGTTGTAAATATCATAAATTTAAAAAAAATAAATAAATCAATGTACATTCATAAATATTTAGTTTAATGGAATAAAAACTTCACATTTTAAATTTGTTTTTAAATATTTATTAAATCACGTAATATAAATTTCGAAATTCTCTGAACATTGTGCAGTATGATTTCGTAATAGTTTATTGTGAAAAAAACTGTATATTGCAACAAAAAAATTGGTGGATATGGTTGATCTGGATACGCATGGTCCATTAGTAATGACAATAAGTAAACAAATTTTTTCATTTAAATTTAACATTTTACGTAACAATGATTCTTCTTTAATTTCATTTGTTAACGCCGCATACGCTCATATCTTTATTTTTTCATTATTATTGTTTATAAATGTTTTTTTATCTCTTTTTTGTAAATTTACGGGGGACAATTGTCCCAGAACTGTATTTAATTGTACATTGTTTTAATATTTAACTTCATTTTCGATGTATTATCGCGTTTGTGTATACGCTCCAGCCCGGCAGTAATACCCAGTCTTAGGGATTAAGACATCAAAATAATGCGATAATACTGCCGGAATGTCAGTCTTGAGCGAGCCTTCGTTTAGGTTGGAGCCACGTGTTGGATGTCTACCCCCACTTTTTTACCAGCTCCAGGCTCACCTCGCCTCACCTCACCTGCGCCAGCATCGATTGAGATAGATATACATATCGATTCCCCCACCATCGACTGCTTTAACGGCTGATCATCAAGGTAACCTATTTGGAAGTATAGCCTCCAACTTTGATTGTTTTTTTTGTATTCTCGCCGTTACCAAAGACATTTAAATATTAATTTGATTTTGTTTGTCACGATAAATTAGTTTTACTCTTTTGTTATGTTTTTTTTTGTTTTATTTATAATTTTAGAAGTTGATTTTATATATATTTTATTTTGATGTACATTTTTTCTTTATTTCTCATTGAGTATTCTCAATGAGTATGTTTGTATGTCTCAATGAGTATTGAGTATGTTTTACATCTTGTATGTATGAATTTATATCTCTTTTTTTTATTGAATAAATTACAAACGTTCAAAAGGGGAATTCCTTATTTTTCATTATTGATTTCTTGACTAATTTTAATTTTAATATTTTTGATGCGCATGTATTTATCATGTTTTACATGTCTCATTTTCACTATTTTTTCCCTTCTTTCCCACCATTAATTTTGCTCGAATTTTCCTCACCTTTGAAGAAACTCGCCCGAGAAAGTTATGTATTTTAATTTTGAAGTACCCCTGACTCCAACATCATTTGTATTATAAAAGTTAATAATAAAAAACAAGTGTGTTAATTAATTATTTTTTTATTTAATGACAGTTATTTAATAACATTGGTGTATATTTAGGATATTTTAAAGGGGGTCACACGATGTACATTTACCGGGGACGAGCGGGACAGTGGAGGCATAAACATTTCGGGGAGAGGAAATGGCAAACCTCGAAGAGATGGGCCCCTAAGCCATAGCCCCAAGATTCACTAGCGGCAGCTTATCTGAAAGTAGGACAACCCAGAAATCTAGAACTCGTCCTTCTTTTCATCCAAGCCTCGATCCAAAAATTAAAAAAAA